TGTCCCAGCTCAAGCAGAGAGAATATTCTCCCTTTCTCTGCCTTTTTGGTCTATTCAGGCCCTCAATGGATTGAGGGTGGATTGCTGAGGGTGGATCTTCTTTACTCAGTTGACTGATTCAAATGCTAATCTCTTCCAGCAACACCCTCACAGACACACCAGAAATAATGTTTTACCAGCTATCTGTGTATCCCTTAGCCCAGTGAAACTGACACATACAATTAACTATCACATAAGCTAATATTCTTTATTGTTTAAGGCTGTTAGAAATGGGTTTGCCACAACTTGCAATTGACGGCATCTTACGACACAGTAAAGACAGAGTGCAAGATTCAGGTCCTTAAAGGCTATAAAATGCCTTGGGTACTCATTTAACAGATTACAACTCTTTCCTCAAAGTCATGGGGGACTTCTTGAAGCAAAGGGTGAGGTAAATTATTAGGTTCTTATATTTTAAATGTCTTACTGGCTCCAACGTGGAACGTGGATTGAAGTAGGGCAATAGTGAACAAGAGGGGCAATATTTGACTCGGGAAGTTTAACAGTTGCCCAAGTAATGAGTGTAATATGCTATCCTGGATGAAACCATGGGACAGAAAAAGAACATTAGGTAACAACTAAAGAAATCTGAATAAAGTACAGACTGTAGTTAATAACCGTCTTAGTTCATTTTGTGTTGCTATAACACAATACCACAGATTGGGTAATTTATAAAGAAAAGAAATGTATTTGGCTCATGGTTCTGCAGGCTGGAAAGTCCAAGAGCATGGCACCGGTATCTGGCAAGGACCTTTGTGCTGTGTCATCCCATGGCAAAAGGTGGAAGAGTAAGCAAGCATGTGAGGAAAAGGAAATCAGGCCGAACTCATCTTTTTATCAGGAGTCCACTTCTGCAATAGCTAACCTACTTCCCCCATGACAGCATTAATCCATTCATGAAGACAAAGTCCTCATGATCAAATCACCTCTTAATTGTCCCACCTCTTAATACCATCACAATGGCAATTAAATTTTGACATGAGTTTTTTGGAGGTGACCTCCAAACCATAGCAGTAATGATGTATCAATATTAGTTCATTCATTGTGAATAATGTGTCATATCATATGAATGTAAGATGTTAACAATAGGGGAAACTGGGTGTGTGGTTTGTTGGAGCACTATGCACTACCTTTGCAATTTTTCAGTAAATCTAAGACTATTCTAAAACAAAAAAGGTTATTTTAAATTACCTTTAAAAAGCAGGTAAAAATGTTTTGGTTTCAATGTGTTTATGCTTTCACGTCTATTCTTTTATTGATCTGCAAGTATTTATTGAGTACCTACTCTATGCCAGGCTCTGGGCTGAGTCCCGGGAATGAGCTAATATCTTGCTTAGGCTCAGGAAGACATTAATGATTTTATCTTCTATCTTGTTCACATGACTATGAGGTCCACAAGTCAATGGCCCAGAACTCTGGCTGGAGTCCCTGTCCCAGCCTTGCCAGTGACTGTTAACTATGACTTCACCTCTCTTGGCCTCTATTTCCTCCTATGTCATTTACAAAGACTTGTGCCTGCTTCGCCTACATCAGTCATAAATCATGAGGCTGAAAGGGGCACCAGAACATAAAATCAGGCCATGGCTTGAATGGACTTTAATGTCTATCCAGGCCAACCACTGTTTGAGGCACAGGGAAACTGAGGCCCAGAGAGGGCAAGTGACTGGCACAAGGTCACACAGATAAAATCAGAAATCAGACCTTCTCGTGCTTTCCACTATAGAAGGCTGGAAGGGTCCTGGAAAGTTTAAAAGCTTATGCAGGTAAATGCAAAGACAAATTTCTGTTTTTAAGAGTTCCAAAATTGCTAATTCAGATACTTTGGGTTTGTATCTTCGGCAAATTCAGGTAGGTTTTGGCCATCAACTGAAATTTGAATCTAAAAGGCAATGGGTTCTCAGAATATGGGTTCTCAGTCTGCCTACCTCTCTTTCTGCATACTTTTTTTTTTTTTGAGATGGAGTCTCGCAGAGTTGCCAGGCAGGAGTGCAGTGGCATGATCTCAGCTCACTGCAACCTCTGCCTCCCGGCTTCAAGCGATTCTCCTGCCTCAGCCTCCTGAGTAGCTGGGACTACAGGCATGGGCCACCATGCCCAGCTAATTTTTGTATTTTTAGTAGTGACAGGGTTTCACCATGTTGGCCAGGATTGTCTGTATATCCTGACCGCGTGATCCACCCGCCTCAGCCTCCCAAAGTGCTGGGATTACAGGCATGAGCCACTGCACCTGGCCCTGCATATCTTTTCATTTATTCATTCATTTATATTTAACTTCATGTTTTGAGCCTAGTTTCACCCTACTCTGTATGATCTGGCCAAGTTAGTAATTTCTTCTTGTAGGGAGAGAGCAATACTGTCAGTAGCATCTCTCCCTCCCTGTCTCACCATGCTCCCATTTCTGGAAATCCTAATAGTCTTCAATAGTAGGGCTGGGGGAAGAGAGATGACAACAGGTAGCCAAAGGACCGGCATTGCCTGGCTCAGGGATCCCCAAGGCTGGCCTGTGGCCACTTGGCAGCACAGGTTAGTGATTATGTCCAGAGAGCTTAGATGCAAACTCTGTGGCACAAATTCCAGCATTTCCCAGCAACAAAACATCAGGCAAGTTATTCACCCTGTACTTCTGTTTCCTCATCTGTAAAACAGGGACCACCCTTACCTCATGGGAGCACTGAGAGAATTAAATGAGATAATACATGAAACGTGCTTAGCACAGGTTGTGACATATTGTAAGAGTTTAAAATTACTGGTTCAGATCCCTAAGCTTATCCAATCCACATGTTTCACACTCATGAAAACTGAGGCCCAGAGAGGTGGCAAGACATCCTGGGAGGTAGTGACCTGCTGCCACTGGAGTCCTTGAATATTCACAGATCATGAAGGGCCCTAAGAAGGTCTTTGTGGTGGTTTCACTGGGGTGGAAGGATCCTGCTCTCCAATCCTCACCTTCCCATCCCATTTCTGTTAGTCTTCAATTCTGGCCCCTTAATATTGCATCCATCCCTACTAGATCTGCATCTCTGGTGCCCCCCCGACATTTCCCTTGTTTCTTTCCCACCACACCACAGAGAATAATTAAAGGCCCTTAGCTAGGAGGGATGAAGCTTATGGGGAGGAGGAGGGTGGAGAATCAGAGGCACAAGACTCTTTGACCATTATGCAGTGAGTGGTGTAAAAGAGAAAGTGGAATCGACTTCTGCATATAAACCCAAAAGAATTGAAAGCGGGGTCTCAAAGAGGTATTTGTACACCCATATTGATAGCAGCCTTATTCACAATAGCTAAATGGGGAAACAGCCCAAGGGTCCATCCAGTGATGCATGGATAAACAAAATGCCATCTATCCACACAGCGGAATACTCTTCAGCCTTAAAACAGAAGGAAATTATGACACATGCTTCAACATGGATGAACCTTGACAATATTATGCTAAATGAAATCAGCCAGTCACAAAAAGACAAATACTGTGCGATTCTATTTCAATGAAGTGCCCAGAACAGGCAAATTCATAGATAGGAAATAGAATGGTGGTTGCCAAGAGCTACGGGGAAAGGGGAGAAGGGAGTTACTGTTTACTTCGTACAGAGTTTCAGTTTTGTAAGATGAAGACTTCTGGAGAGGGATGGTGGTTATGGTTACGCAATAACATGAGTAAACGAATGCCACTGAATTGTACACTGAAAAATGGTTGAGGTGCTACATTTTACGTTATGGTTTTTTTTTTTTAACAGTTAAAAAGGAAAAAGGAAGGTGGGAGAGCTCTAAAACGAGAAGGTAACAGTTTGATTAACTCTTACCAGTTTGATTAACTGTTACCAGTTTGATTAACTGATTAGTGGCATGAATGTACAACTTCTGTTTTGAACGTGGCTCACATCTCCTGTGTTCCTATCCCAGCTCTATCACTTTCTTGCTGAGTGACCTTGAGCAAGTTGCTTGACCCCTCTGAGACTCTTTCCTCACTCATAAAATACAGATAATAATAGTACCTATGTCACAGGGTCGTTGTGAAAATGAAATGACATCATCCACGAAGAGTGCTTAGCACAGAACCTGGATATTGACTTTTCAGTTAGCAAATATTTATTAAGCTTCTACTATGTGCCAGTAAGTGCCAAAGATGCAACAGTGAACAAAACAGACAAAAGTTTCTGCCCGTATGGAGTTTATATGTCCATGTGCATTAGCCTGCATTTCCCAGAAAGCAGAACATGAGGCAAAAGCTTATGTGTTGCTCTTTTACAAGGAGGTGTGCAGTCCCAGGGAAATATGAGCGAAGGAAGAGAGGAATGAGACAGGGAAGAAAGGAGAGACAACACAAGTATGCAATCCTGTCTGGACATCTCTTGGTATCAAGGGCTACTGGTTGCCCCTCTCATGGGACCATCTTTGGTGGGGCTACATGAATTACTGTGTTTAAAGATCATTAAACTGGGAGCAGGAAGGGGAAGGAACAGATGCATCAACTTCCAGTCTAGATTTGTCAAAGGTTTGCTGCAAAGGGCAATCATTAAAAACTTAAGTTGCTTATGAATGGTTGCTGTCAGCTCTGCTGCTCTTAAGTCTCAGCATCAACATGAAGGTGAGCAAGGGCTGCAGAGCTTTCCCTGTGTAGAGGTGGTCGGAGCCCATGCACAGTCGATCACCCCCATGGCAACTGGAATAGAACCAGTAGCCAAGGGTCCCAAAAATAGCAGAGGTCCGAAGTCCACAGTGGTGCCCAAGAGGTGTCAGATACAATGTATGTAATGCATGTGCCTGTACCTACCCACATCTAGGTACATATTATAATTAAAACTAATTATAATATAATAAAAAAAAAATTATAAAAAATAAAAAATAAAAAATAAATAAAAAAAAAATATAAAAATAAAAAATAAAAAAAAATATTTTAATATATAATTATAATAAATATATAATAAAACTATATTATAATTAAAACTTATTATAATGACACCAGCATCTGCAGCTAAGAACACTTTCAGGCAAATACAGCTCTGCTGATCATCCCTAGAAGGACAACCATATTATAGGACCAGCAGGTTTGTATATCCACTGTGCAGTAACATACCAATTACACTGAGACAGCAAGGTTTGCAACAGAGAAAGAGATCCATGATCATAGGGCACTGAGTGAGGAGATGGGAGGAGACCCTCAAATCCATCTCCCCAAGGAATTCTGGGCTGGGTTTTTTAAGGGGATCATGGAGGGTGAGGGACTAGAGAATTGGAGCTGTTGATTGAACAGGGAAAGGGGGATGAAATCATCAGAATGTGAAAACTGCATTCTTTGGCAGTCAGATTCTCATGGGGTCCTTCAGACCGGCTGGCATTATAGTCTTATTAGTATGCAGGACCTGAAGGACTATCTCAAAAGGAAAACTTAATGTTTTTTAATATTCAGGTTGTTATCTATAGAGCAGTTAAGGGGAGCTATAAACTTGTAACAGAGTCTATGTGATTGTGGGACAATAGGTACCAAAAAATATGAGGAAGCAGGTCAGAGAGCAGGCTGACTTAATGATTAATGCTGAATATGCTGCAAGCTTGGTTTATTTTCATTTATCCTCCCGTTTTTCCTGATTAATTTTATAAAGTTCATAGGGGTGGTTTCAAACACATGAGAAATTACAACCTTTATTATCAGAGTCAGAGCCTGACTATATTGATTGAATGAAGCTTTCCTTATAAAATGCAAAGTATGTAAACAATTCCAACACAGTAACATATTCATGAGTTTTTAAATTCATGAGTTTTAGAGAAGAGAAAATATTTTACTTAAAACTGGCACATGATGATCTCTGACAATATTATGTAGCCTGAACCTGGAGTTTTGGCTGATGGATTGTCTCAGCCTGTGGCAGATTTTAGCTGGCTTTGGTTCATTTTGTATCACACCCCCACACTCACATGCTCACACACTGTCTCACTTCAGACTGCCATCACAAAATGCGATAGACTGGGCGGCTCAAATAACAGAAATTTATTTCTCACAGATCCAGAGGCTGGGAAGTCCAAGGTCAAGGTGCCAGCAGGCTCAGGTCCCCAGTGAGGGCTCTCTTCCTGTATTCCAGGCGTCCACCTTGTTACCATGTCCTATGGCAGAGACAGAGTGAGAGATGGATGGGGATTGAGAGAGAGAGAGAGTGTGCACATTGCCCCGGTCTCTTCATCTCCTTAGAACACCGATCCCATCACGGGAACCTGGTCCTCATGACTTCATCAAAACCTAATTACTTCCCAAAGGTTCCCATTTCCAAAAACATCACATTGGGGGTTACAGCTTTAACATGAACTTTAGGGAGATGGAAACATTCAGTCCATAACACACACCCTGTGATATACCCCCATAAAATAAATACATTGAGTGGCTGTTGGGTTTGTCTTCGGGTGGAAGGGTCTGGTCCTCTGAGCTTCCAGATAGGGTTCTTGAATGATCCACACCACATCTGCTTCAGTGTTGTCCAAGGAGCTGGTACAAAAGTACAGACTCTCAGGCCCCACCCTGGACATTTCAAGTTAGGGTCTCTGGGGCTGGGGCCAGGAATCTGCATTTTGGACCAATCCTTCTTTCCTCCACTTGCCTGCCCAGAAGATTCTAGCAGCTCCCAAAGCTTGAGGACCACTGCTCTGTGCCTCTGCATCCTCTGGAGATTTTCCAAAACTGGTGTACCTTCTTAAATCAGTTGTCTTTATAATGACTATGACACATAAAGCCATGTGATATAACAAAGGCTGAGCAGGATGCAGAAAGGGCTTTGTGACTATAGCAGGCTTTGGAACATGGATTTAATGAGCTACTACTTTGGTGAGTAGAGAAACGGGGAATAAAATCTCAGTGGATCAGGATTTTTAAAATTGAATTTATGTTTGAAAGGATAGGGAGAGAAGGGCATTGCTTCCCTAAAAACTAAAGTCCTTTCTTTTCTTTTTTTTTTTTTTTTGATGGAGTTTCACTCTGTTTCCCAGACTAGAGTGTAGTGGTGTGATCTCAGCTCACTGCAACCTCCACCTCCTGGGTTCAAGAAATTCTCCTGCCTCAGCCTCCTGAGTAGCTGAGATTACAGGAATGTGCCACCACGCCCGGCTAATTTTTTAATTTTTAGTAGAGTCGGGGTTTCACCGTATTGGTCAGGCTGGTCTTGAACTCCTGACCTCGTGATCTGCCCACCTTGGCCTCCCAAAGTGCTGGGTTTACAGGCGTGAGCCATCGCACCTGGCCAAAGCGCTTTCTTAATCATATAAATGACTCATGTCTTCGTGCTTGGTGGCTGCTTTCTGTACCCTGCTACAGATGATGCTGCCTATTTGTGAAACAGGACCAAAACAACTCTTCTGGAAGGAACTCTTTCATATCTAAATATCAAAACTGTTAATCATTGTTATTAGTAATTCATTAATATTTTTAATAGCTCAAGTACTACAATTAACTATTCAGCTATTTAGCCCCCGTTTTCCTTTTCTAAATTTGTTTTTCCAATAGCACTGTTATTTGAATGCCAACTTTAGATTTTAGCCTCCTTTCAACTTAGGTGACTGTGAATCTATAAATTCTTATCAAGGAGCAAATGTGTAGAATCCATAATGCTTAGAGTTTGTTATTGGAACTATAGAAAATGTTACATTTGTGGTGTCAGACTCTATTTAGCGAGTAAGGACAAAACAGGAGCTAAGGCCAATTACTCGTCGTCATCATCACCACCACATTTCTGGAATATTTACTATTTACCAGGCACTGAACCAACATTGTATATTCATCATAGGATATGGTTCTCATGGCAGCTCTATGAGGTTTGTGCCCACATTATCCCCATTTTGGTGATAAAAAAGCCAAGCCCCACAAAGGTTAAGTAAATTATTCAAGGTCCACAGCCAGTGTGTGGCAGAACCAGTTTCCGAAATCAGGCAGTCCAATTCCTAACCATTGTGCTATTCAGCCTAATGAAAGCAGCAAAAGATTCAAGGTAGACAACTGTATATTGTCAAGGGAATGTTCAACAGCAAGGTTGTTTGTTTTTAAATAATGTTGAAATCCATGAACAGTTTTTTGCTAATATTTGGAGCAACTGATAAAATACATCAAAGTGTAAGTGTGGACACGTCTATGCACCCTGGGGAAGTAGCAGAGTGGCCTAATTTTGTGTTGGAGAATCAAAGGCCGGAATGAAATGCACTTTTTACATCCCAAAGGAAAATTCCCATTCCAAAAGACATTAACAGCTTTTTTAGCAGCACCCATTCATCTGCTCCCCAAAGGCATGGGGTCATGTGATTTTGAGAGTATTGACACTACTCCCAATGCATGGCAGTCATATGTAATAATTTAGGGGACAGTGGCTCCATTCACAGTTCCAAAGGTAAACGCCCCTCCAATTGACTAAAATCAATCAGAAAATCCTACTCTAGCACAGGATTGTTTCAGAGATGGGCACACATCTCATCCTGAGCCAATCAGAGCATGGCACTTCCCTCAGTCATGGTGATTGATTCAGAGATGGGCACACATCTCATCCTAAGCTCATCAGAGTGCGTCCAGAATTGGTGGGTTCTTGGTCTCAGTTACTTCAAGAATGAAGCCCTAGACTCTCGTGGTGAGTGTTACAGTTCTTAAAGATGGTATGTCCAGAGTTTGTTCCTTCAGACATTCAGATTGTCTGGAGCTTCTTCCTTCTGGTGGGTTTGTAGTCTTACTGACAGGAGTGAAGCTCCACACCGTCATGGTGAGCGTTACAGCTCTTAAAAGCAGAGTGTCTGAAGTTGTTTGTTCTTCCCGGTGGGTTCCTGGTCTCGCTGGCTTCAAGAGTGAAACTGCAGACTGTCATGGTGAGTGTTACAGTTCATAAAGGCAGCATGGACACAAACAGTAAGCAGCAGCAAGATTTATTGCAAAGAGCAAAAGAACAAACCTTCCACAATATGGAAGAGGAAAGGAGCAGGTTGCCCCTGCTGGCTCGGGTGGCTTGCCTTTATTCCCTTATCTGACCCCACCCACATTCTGCTGATTGGTCCATTTTACAGAGAGCTGATTGGTCCGTTTTGACAGAGGCTGGTGTTTACAATCCCTGAGCTAGACACAGAGTGCTAGACAGAAAAGTTCTCCAAGTTCCCGCTAGGTTAGCTAGTTACAGAGTACCAATTGGTGTATTTACAAACCTTGAGCTAGACACAGAGTACTGATTGGTGTATTTACAAACCCTGAGCTAGACACAGAGTACTGATTGGTGCATTTACAATCTCTTAGCTAGACATAAAAGTTCCCCAAGTCCCCACCAGACTCAGGAGCCCAGTTGGCCTCACCCAGTGGATCCAGCACAGGGGCTGCAGGCAGACCTGTCTGCCGGTCCCAAGCCGCGCCTGTATTCCTCAGCCCTTGGGCAGTGGATAGGATGGGGTGCCACGGAGCAGAGGGTGGCGTCTGTCGGGGAGGCTTGGGCTGCAAGGGAGCCCCATGGCAGAGGCAGGGGCTTGGGCATGGCGGGCTGCAGGTCCTGAGCCCTGCCCTGCGGTGAGACAGCTGAGGCCCGGTGAGAATTTGAGCACAGCACTGGTAGTGCTGGGGGACCTGGCGCAACCTCCGCAGCTGCTGGCCCGGGTGCTAAGCCCATCACTGCCCTGGGTCAGCAGCGCCGGCTGGCCGCTCTGAGTGTGGGGCCCGCTGAGCCCGCGACCCCTTTAGAACTTGGGCTGGCCTGTGAGCGTGGTGCGAAGCCCGGGTTCCTGCCCGCACCTCTTCCTCCACACCTCCCGGCAAGGGGAGGGAGCCAGCTCCACCCAGGCCAGCCCAGAGAGGGGCTCCTACAGTGCAGTGGCAGGCTGAAGGGCTCCTCAAGTGCTGCCAGAGTGGATGCCGAGGCAGAGGAGACACCGAGAGTGAGGGCTGCTAGCGCATTGTCACCTCTCAGGAGCATGGCACTTCCCTCGGCCATGGTGATTGATTCAGAGATGGACATGTGACCCGTTTGCTCAGTTAGAGTGAAACCTAGGATTTTGTTTGGTAGTTGAGATAAAGACACTTTTCTTCAGGAAGATGTGGGGTATGGAACTGTTCCAGACATTGTGTCACCATGACAAAAGTGAGTGTGAAAAGTAAACCATCACGTTCAGGAAGGCAAAATCAAGAGAACTGCAGAGCAATGGAGTCAGCACCCTGATCAAGCCATTCCTGAAACTAGTATTGATCCATTTTTATTTACATGAATCAATAAGTTTCTTTCACTGTTCACATTATTTTAAGCTGGGGTTCTGTTTCGTTCAACTAAAAGCATTCCAGTTGGTACATCAAGCATTATGCTTGCCATTTAAATACAAGTGGGTTCTAGTGGGGAGATCTGCTGTCATTGTAAGAGCACCTTAAAATGGACACAGCACTTGGGACCAATCTTTAAAAACAAAGTCTAGCTACCCTCTATGTTAATGAGAAATGGGTGTTTTACATCGTTATGGAAACACTGGGGAGAGAATTTACATCACATATGAAAAAGCAAAACTTAATAAGATTCCTCATCACCCATCCCCATAGGACTTCTGTGATGACACCTGTTCCACTTTTCCTTTTCCTTTTCTCCCTGAAGCTTCTAACATCTCCTTAGTAACTGCATTCTCGTGCTCCATTAATGTTCTGCGTGCTGCAACACACAAACAAATAAAACAACAGCAACGATGGGTAGGGGGGAAGTCATCCTCTGTCCCTCTAGCCTGTTCCCAATCCCAACCCAAGGCACTTCCCAGAGAGTAATTCAGCTGCTGAGTAATATTTCCATATGGTTATCTACTGTGTTCTAGAAATACACAAGGAATGCTCTTGGGCTCTTGTGCGATCCTCTCATCTTTGCGGCCACTCCCACAAGAAAGAGGACAAATCATTACCTCATTAAGTGAAACTTGAACTTTACCCAGCTCCAGCTCCCTCCCTTGGGGAATTTGGAAGAGAGAAATCACAGAGCTGATTGAATGTGATAGACTTACTTTCTGAGTGATGTTAAGAATAACACATCTTTCTATAACCATCTAAAACTATCTTGGGATTCAAATCCTTTCAAGTCAGACAACCTCTTCCAGTTCAAACATTGCCCATGCTTAGCCATTAAATTATTCAGGAATAAAGAAGGCTCTATGGTTTCTCACTGCGTGCCAGGAATTGTGCTGGGTGCTAAGAGCCCAAAGCTGAGTAAGACACAGGCATTCACATCCTATAGTAAGAAGTGGGTATGTAGTTTTCTTTTCTTGCGATGTTTTTATCTGGCTTTGGTATCAGAGTAATGCTGACCTCATACAATGAGTTAGGAAGTGTTTCCTCCTCTTCCATTTTTTTTTTTTTTTTTCCTTAACTAGAGTTTGGGAAGAATTGGTGTTCATTCTTCTTTAAATATTTAGTAGAATTTACCAGTCATCTAGTCCTGGGATTTCCTTTTAGAGAGCTTTTTGATTATGCTTTAATCTCTTTAATCTCTTACATTGTTATAAGCCTATTCAGATTGTCTATTTCTTTTTGAGACAGTTTGGTAGTTTGTGTGTTTCTAGGAATTTGTCCATTTCATATAGATGAATTTATTGGTGTATAACACTTCTAAGAAGTGGATATACAAACCCATCTCTGCTGTAGAAGATAAATACTAAAACAAAGCCTGACAACAATGTAACAGAAACCTGGAGAAGGGAAGGCTTAGTTGCCTTTGGAGTTGGGGAGATGAAATAGATTCACAGGAGAGGTGATGGAAACACATTGGGTGCCATAGAAGGAGTAGAAGTTGGTTAGGTGAAGATGTAGGGGTAGGGCATTGCATGTAAGGAAACGATATGAGTCAAGGC